AAGAGAGAGAGAGAGTTGCTAGTCCCATAAATTTGTTCCTGAAAAGTCTTACCTTGTGATCCTGGAAAATGTCTCTCTTCTAATCCCATACAGTAAACCAGTACTGAACTTCAGAGAAGCAACTGGCTGGAAGCTTTCTGTCCTAATTTACACTACTGTCTTCAGGATCTGGACACATGGATGTATGTTTCTGTATAGACCCACCCAGTAATTACCGAGGCAGGCCTTTAATTAGTCTGAAATTGTGCAGGCATAATGGTGACGACCCACACATTTTTCCATTGGAAATTGTAAATGGATGACAAAGAGAAAACCCCATCCCCTCTCCTCGCCACACATACTTCCTGAGAAGCTTTTTCATGACTTTTTGTACCTCAAGCCAGAATCACTGCTCACGGGGGTGTTGCTCACTGTGGCGCAAAGTGTGGTTCATAGAACAGGACATGTCCACAGTCAGCAAGGAGATGAATTCAAACATTAAGGAAAGATGTTCAGAAAATTTTAGAGGTATTTGGCAGAGTCCTTTTCTATCTGTTACATGTAATCATAAAAACTAGGAGTTCATTTTTTTGGTAGAAACTCAATGGTATTGAAATTTAGTAGAGCTCTTATCTCTGGTCAAGATGAGATTCAAGTTTCTTTTTTGGTAGAGCTATTGGCAGCAAAACCTCATGTCCACATGAGCATGAGAGTAATAATAAGATTATATCTGAATAGCGCTTAGTAAGCATTAAAGCATAAAGTGATGTCTTGGTTTGGGAACCTCTGGAAGCCTATCTGGAGAGAGGCATCTGAGCAAGTAGCTCAAGTGAGCAACAGTAGGGAAGTGGAAATGGAGACAAAAATGGGAAGGAAGCCAGTAAATGGTGTTTAAACAAGCAGGTGGCCACTGTGGATGACTGGCACTCAGTCCCACTGGGAGCTCCGGGAATGGTATACAATATACTTGAGAATTGCTCCACTTGAGGGGTGAGGGAGCTGAGCTATTGATCCACCAAGCTTCTGCCTGTCAACTGTTAGGGTCTCCTGGGGGGCACTGTTAACTCCCTGGCACCTCAGTCTGCCCCTGTGCAAGTCGAGTGGGTCCCACTGGTTAGAGAAAGCCATGAGGTAAGACTTGCAGGAGCTTCCAGTTGAGAGTTGAGCTGGTATACACAGATCTGGCAAATGCCAAGGGGATGCGAAGGACACCAGCAGCACCTGCCAATGAGCAGGTAGCATAGGTGGTCTTACCCAATTTCTAGATAGCAAACTGAGGTCCAGTTTAGCACTATAATACCGAACAGAAGGTGTTGGTGGGATAAGAAGGATCTCTCCCTTTAGTCACCTCCTTTGGGCCCATCCAAAGCCCCTTCCACTAGCTCTCACTCCTGCCTTGTGTAATGAGGTAGTTGGTGGTCTTCCTGTGTGGCAGAGGCTGGCTGGACGCCCACACAGCCCATCTCTGCTTCCTGGGCCTCCACCTAGACTCCATTTCCAGGTCTCCTTTGCAGAGGAGTGTGGACAGACCTGTGAAGATTGAGTGGAAGGGATGTATAATATTTCCCTGCCCGACCTACGCAAACCCTTACGCATATTCTACCTGCTCTTTACTCTCGGAGCAGGTTGGGCTAGAGATGACCCCAGGGTAGCCCAGAGAGTCACACCTTGAAGATGGCTGAGCCCCAGTATGGAAGAAGTCGTGGTTCCTGGGTCATCACTTAGAGGACAGCCACTGGACCAGAAACATACTCTTTAGATTTTTATTGTGGACAGCCACTGTGGTTTTGAGGACTATCTATTACAGTAACTGGCATTATCTTAAATAATGCAACGTACACATGTGATCAAATAATTTATTTTTCTTTATATCATTTACCATTATCTCAGCTTATGTACCTTTTTATCAGCTGTCTACCCTCCAACAGGAAGACTTGAATTCGTACATGGTTGTATCTTTGGCATCTGGAACAATCCTGGCAACTAGTAGATATTCAACACATATTTGTCTATTTACTGTATACCAATGCCCAACCTTTATCGCAGATGGTGCATGACAGGCCCTGTCCTGGGAACTTCATGTCTCTTATCTCAGTTCATTCTCACAACAAATGTATCAGGAAACTGAAACGCGTAGAGGCTGGTTAGCTTACCCCATGGTACCCAGCAGGCAAGCAAGGGAGCAATGACTGGAAACCAGGCAGTCTGACTCAACCCTCAAACTCTTACACCCTTTGCACATTTCCTGGTAACATCTGCCAGTTCTGGTGCTAGGAGCTGGGGTTGTAGGAAAGCTGAGACATAGCACCAGCCCCTGAGGTCTACCCAACAGGCAACAGCCTGGGGTTTATGTGCAGTGGGGGAAAACAGACCAGTCTCTGTTCTCACCTTGGAGCTCTGCGAGAAATGTCGAGCTCTGCTACTTACCTAATCTGAGCTAGGACTCAGCTACAGGATCAAAAATTCTCTTGTGTAATGAGAGAACAGAGCAGAATATGTAGAAATAAAGCCAGATTCTCTGTCTCCAATATGACACTATAAAGGTTGGCAAAAGGACAATTGGCAGATTTGAATAATTTGAGCAAAGGCAGGGTGGGTGGGAGCAAAACAAAAACAAACAGCTGATCCTGTGAGTGTTGGGAAGAGTTAGGAAGAGAGCAGAACAAGGGGTTAAGGTTAAGAATGTGGGTTTGGGCCTGGCTGATGCGGCTCAGGGTTTGAGCATCGACCTAGGACCCAGGAGATCGTGGCTCGATTCCTGGTCAGGGAACATGCCAGGGCTGCGGGCTCGATCCCCAGTAGGAGGCAGCCGATCAATGATTCTCTCATCATTGATGTTTCTCTCTCTCTCCCTCCCTCTCTCTGCAATCAATAAAGATATATTATTACAAAAAAAAAGAATGTGGTTTTGGTGATCAGACAGAACTGGTTTCAACCATCTGGTGTGTTAATACCTTGGGCCAGTTTGCTAACCTTGTTGGGCTTCTGTAAAATGGATTTAATATGCCTGCCTCCCTTGTAAAGTGACTAGCGCAGAGGTACAAAGTGTGTGCTCAGGAAAGAGTGGCTGGAATAGTATCTATTCTTTGATCCCTGGGCTTAGAATGGACAACTCCACCCTCTTGGCTACTGAGTATAAAGACAGAAACACTTGGGAGACTAGAATCATGGCAGACACACCGGAGCTGAAGAGACTCTCAGCACCTACGCATCTCTCCCTGCCCCTTCCCACGTGCAGCCACTAGAGGGCCATGGGCATCGCTGTTTGCCACCGTAGGCTTGCTCCGTGTGGCACCCAAGAGGCCCTTGGATTACTAGAAATAGGGCTCTCTTTGCAGGGAGAGGCAAAGGAGCAAAGCATTTGATGAGAGCAGCTGCTGAGGGGTTATATTTACAGGTCCTGCAGGGAGGGTGCGGAGAGCCCACTCTGCTGCAGGCAAACTTTCCATGAGGAAATTAGTTACCTGGGGTTACCCTGGGGCTGGCTCGGGGCCCTGTATTGAATGAGGTAAGGTCTCCTTATCTTAGTAGATTCTGAGCAGAGGGGTGTGGATTTCTGAGGATCACTCATTGGCTTCCTAGAGCTTTGGGACTGAAAAACTAGCTCATCCTGATAGAGGCGGATTCTATTTAGCGAACTTCCAGAGGTGTGAGACTATCCTCAAGATGCACAGAACACTAGGGGTGTTCTCAGGAGGCAGAGAGCCCAGGAGCTCTCCCCTGCTCCCAGTTGGCCTGCCTTCCAATTCTCAGTTCATTGCATCGGCAAGGCTGATATGAAGAGGCACCTTGCTCACTGAACACATTTCTCATCTCAGGTATTCTCACTGTAGTAGGGGAGAGCTCTGTTAGCTTTAATCTGCCCCTCAAAATCCTCAACGCAAGCACTTGTGATCGGCTCTGTATCTGCCACTCTTGGCTCTCTGCTCATCACTCTAAACATCCCAGTTTTCAGGAAGCACCAAACTCTTTCCTACTTGCTTGCCTGTGTCCATAGTGTTTTTTACCCAAAATGCACTGACTTCACTCTCCCTCTTCTCTGCTTTATGAAATACCAACTCTTCCTTAGACCTGACAGGTCTAATTCCCTGATTCTCGCTTCTATTTTCCCATCACACTTTGCACTTACTCTTAGTAGAACACACATCGGAGGATGTTACTGCCGTACATTTTTCTCTCTCCTCACGCAATTGAACGTCTCATATGTTTCATCTCCAGCCTCTGCTTGAATACCTGTCCTGACAGAGAACTCACCACCTCAAAGGTAATGCATTTCATTGCAATGCACTCTCTTTGCAGAAAAAGTTTTCCTAGTATCAGAAACCAAATCTGCTTCCCTGATATAAATACATATTGATTCTCTCCCTACCAAAACCAGTTGCTTAAAATTCCTTAAGATGTGAATAAGGCTTCTCATTTCATAATTGGAAGCAGATCTCAAATATAAATACCCTGAGAGTGAGCAATACATAAATAATTCATTCTAAAGTGTAAATGACTGCTAAGAGCTTTTCCATAAGAATAAGAATTAGTAGGTAAATCTAAGGGCGGAGCTCTTTGGAACACCAAAGACACCGGAATATGAGGACACCAAGAATTTGATATCATAGAAAGAGCACTGGGCTATGGCACGAAAGGTGGGTCTTACGTGATTTATTTTATGTGAACTTTGCTTTTGTCATCTGGAAAAAGAGTAATTTGCATTACGAGTAGTTCCACTTATTACCGTAATTGCAGATTTTGTTTGGAAGCAGCCCCGCTCACCTGGGCTGTCTTAAGCCTTTGCTCTGGCCTGGTTTTCATAGCTCTTTCTCAGCTCTGGGTGGGCGAAAAGTGGTACGTGTGTCCATGCGCGTCATCCTCTTGGGGGCTGGGCTGACATTCCTGGTGCCAAAGATGCTATGACTTACACCACCCACCATCACGTCAGTCAATGAGCCTTTTATTCCCACCTGGCTTGAACCTCTCTCTCACCAGTGCTATTTATGGCATTTGTATCATAAATATTTGCAAGTAACACGTTTACTGTAGGTAACACATTTTATTATGATTTTATTATATATTCTCTTTTCCTGGAGTTTTGCAAGTAAAGATTGCATAATAACCAACTCTTTATTTGTCCTAAGTTCCACACTACAGAACCAGGTCCTGTTACAACTGCTTGATGCACTAGACTCAGTGACTCAATAAATACTTTACAAAAATAATGTAGTTTTTTTTTCTTTTCTTAAAACATAAAAAATTAGGCTTTCCTAGAATTGATTCTTCCTCCTTTTATATTTATTTACTGTGACTATATTGGTGAAGAAAAACATTGTTAAGATGGTATTAGAATAAAATAGATGACATGGGGTCCATGGTATTTTCCCACTTATCTTGCTTTTTTAATCTTTGGAAAAGTGCTAGTCCCTGTTTTTATATCTGCCTTCCCTGCAGCCGTCTGGACTTACTAAGACATGAGCAGAAATGCTGCCATTCTGAAGCCTTTTAGTAGAATCAAAGCATTATGCTAATATTGGCCTTTTATTTTAAAGCCTATTTAAAACCAGGCTTCAGATTTGCCCCTAAAATATCCTTTGCCCCCCCCAGCGCCCACCACCCTGTCTACCCAGTCTTAGGCAAGGACATTTTGGACACTGAGACTTCAGCAAGGTGCTTCATGACTAAATAATATTTGGTTTAACATGGGTGTTTTCTTGTTTTGCTATATTCCTATTGAGTTCTTTTTAAAGACATCATTACAAATTCCCTTTCTCTTCCACCTCCCTAAGCCCTGTCTGCACTCTCACAGAAGCGATGAAGCAGTTTCACGGTGACAACTCCAGAGAAAAGGTTACGCTTAAGTCACATTCATATTAAATAAGTTATATATAAAAACTTATAATGTTTACCACTCCAGTCTCTTTCCCCCTTCGCTTGTCTAGGAAACACTGGATTTGGGTGTGAAGCGAACCGCACCCACTATGGCTCCCAGGTCCTCCTGGCTTCTTCTGTCCCCATGCTCCCTCCCGCGCCATCCCCAGGAAGAGTTCCCGGGAGGTCTGTGGGCGTCGCAGATGGCAAGGGTGGCTTCGGATGGTCGCCGGGCCTGGCGCACATCCCTAGTGTAATTTAGGAAAAACTCTCCTGTGGTGCAAACAAGCACACGTGAAGGCGGGTCCCGGGGACTCGGCTGCAGGCCGCAGGTGGGCGCGGCGCAAATGTGTCATAAATACCAGGGTGGTGTCTCGTTAATACTCCCGGGCCTCTTGGAACTGCTTGATGTAGTCTTCGTCCGGGGGGCTCTCGGTGCACTTCTGGGCGTTGTTGGGGGGCCGGGCCTCGTTGTACCTGCTCCAGTCGCCCTTGCAGATGATCCAGGGCAGCACGTCCACCTTGTAGTGCAGCTCTGCAGAGAACTCGGTGCTGATGAGGTTGGGCGTCCCGGCGCCTTTGCCCCTGGTGATGAGCTGCATGTTGTCGCCGTAGCAGCAGTGCTGCGCGGCCAGCGTGGTGCTCTCCAGGGACAGCATGGAGCGGATGCAGTAGCGGGCGGTGGGCTTGTAGATCTCCAGCTTCTCCTTGGGCCCGCTGGCGTCCTTCCAGCGGAAGTCCTTGCGCTTGATGCGGTCGAAGATGTCGGCCGTGCTGTAGGCCACCTCGGTGGGGTAGGAGCAGGGGCAGCTGGGCAAGTCGTTGATCACCTTGTGCATGTACTTCTTTAAGAACTCGCTTTTGCAGCTCATCCATCGCTCGCAGCTGTCCGTGTCTGCAAAAGGCCACGGAGAAGCCCCCTCACCACACGCAGAACAGGCGGCAGGATGCCGCTGCCGTCTGCCCCCCCCGCCGCTCCCAGCGCCAGCCCCTGCAGCCCCCGGACAGCCAGTCCGTGCCCGCCGCCCTTGAACTTGGGAGGCTTGAGCTTGACGACCTGTAGGCCATGACCAGACTTAACCATCGTTATATATGCTCCATCTTTTAAATTTTTTTTGGAAATACATGATATTATTATCCCTAAGTTTAAGGTTTAGTAGGCATCTACAAAAAATTAAAATAAAAAAAGAGGACATTGGAATATGGGGTTAACCACAACTCCGTTAGCGCCCATAAGAAAGTGAACAATAATTCAGAGGAGCCATTTGAAATCATCTCTCTGAATGCATGGTGATGGGGTAGAAAATGACCCGAAGGAGCATTTGTAGGATTAAGTTGTATTTCTGCCACAGTCACTGACCCGTGAACTCTAGATCTAGTGCTCTAACCTCTTAACCTGAAGCACTAAACAGTGACAATTACTGTATGCAAATCCACATTTAAAAAAGTGCCTCAAAAGGGAAGGGGCTGGTGGCCCCTGCTTTTAGGGAACTTAACATTTGGGCCAGAGGCCCCCTTACCTGTAAGTCTCAAGCCTGAACCTGCCCCCACAGGTGGTGTGTTTGGCCTTTACAGTATTAAAAGACACTGAATTAATCGCTAACATTTAAGATAGGTGTTTCCACTTATTAATGTGAATTCCTGGTTTAAAAACCAAAAGATACGTTTGTGCTGGTGCTACATGGCCCTATGGGAACAACTAGCTGAGGGAACAGGCAAAGAGTGACCGCTTGTGCAAACCACGATTGAGCAGAAATAACCTGGCGGGTTGTCTGGTGGTAGGGAACACAGTCAGTGTGACTGCAGCAGGTTATGGGGCAGTAGGTTGTTGTGTTGGATCATGGAGGCCTTCAATGCAGGTGAGGCTTGCTCAGAGGGCAGTAGGTAGCCACTGAAGGTTTTTGAGCGATAGTGATCTACTGATTGAGCTGTACAGTAAGAAGATATATATTCAGTGCTGATATCAATGGTAAGAGTCCAGGGAGGGAACAGCAGGTGTGACCAACAGAGGTTAGAGAAATTAGGCTGCCAGGCCTTGGTGGGCTTGGGGGTAGAGGGAGGAGGCCATCAAAGATGACTCGCCAGCTCTGACCCAGGTGCCTGGGAGGCTGGTGGTGTCGTGAGTGGAAATCAAGTGGGCAGGATGGGGGTGGGCAGCTTGGAGGAGAGCTTGGGATCCTCTTCAGTGAAATGCGGAAGAGCTCAGAGAGGCCTGGCCTGGGTGAAAAGTGGGGGCTCTTGTGCTGGACTGCCTGGGATCGAACCCCACCTCAACTATTTAGTAGCTCTGTGACTCGAGCAAGGTATTCTCCCTCACTGTGCTTCAGTTTTCTCACCTCTAAATTGAAGATGTAAATAGAGCCTGTCTCATAAAGTGAGTTGAGGGTTAAAGGGAGGGAACACAGAGGACACGGAAGAGGGTGTCGCCAGCAAGGCTGTGTGGAGGCTCCTTCTGGCTCTGAGCTCTATGATTCCAGCCCCGCAAGCCCCTGACTGAGCAGTAGCTGAGAGAATGGAGGTCCCATCCTGGGAAGTGTGTGTCTGCAAAGCCAATGGGAGTCTGCTTCAGAGGGCAGGATCTGCAGAAACAAAATTCCGTGCAACTCCAAAAATGGCTTTGTATTTTCCCTCCAAAGTGGCCGGCCGTCATAATTCATGGACCTAAAGGACATCCATCGACTTATTTTTATCTATCAGACTTCTGTAGATGTCCACTGTGATGGACGTGTCCTAAACGCTTTGCAAACAGGAGCTCATTTAATTCTACAATAACTCTGTAAGGTAGGCACTAGTTCCTCATGCCATTTTACAGACCAGAAAACAGAGGCAGTATTGGATTAAGAAACTTGACCTTGTGCAAGAAATATGCTGGGAGAATTGGACCCCGTATGAGGAAAACAAAACGTTTAAATGGATCCAAGGATGACATTGCAAAGGCAAAAGGAATGTCTGAAATACTAAATCAATATTTGAATAAAAAAGAAAAAAAACTTTCTTACCAACTTCAAACAGTTTGGTGGCATTAAACTCCTCGCTTCCCGCAAGCAGACTCACTTCGGTGGCAGCTGTCCTGAAGGTGTCTTCAATTCCTAAGCACAGACAGGGGCTCATTTTCCCCTAGTTATATGGAAAAAGTCCACACCCCCCCACCAATTAAAAAAACAAATACACCTCAACAAAGCCTTTTTTTGTGTTCATTACCACTCCTGGGTAGAAACTTGCCAACAGAGGAAACAGTAAAAAGCAGGTAGTAGAGCATAAAATATATTAAAACCCCAGATACCATGTGCAGCATGAAATCAGATCCAAATGTGCCTGAATGAGTCCTAGGGAACTCATTCACTAGGCCCAGGAGTGGGGTTTTGGGCAGTGGGGGGGACACATGTCAAGATGGTTGTCTGTCTGGTGGTGTCAGGATGACAAAGTACACTAGAGGCAGTGGCACTACCGGTCTCGTGGTCAATACCAGTCTTAAGGACCGACTGACTGGGTTAAATCATTACTAGCTACGTGACCTTAGGCAAGCCACTTAATCTTTGTGTAACTATTTTCACATCTGTGAAATGGGGAGAAATAAAAGACCGACCACATAGAGTTGAATGCATCAAATGAGTTATGTGTAAAGAAAGCACTTAGAGCACGCAGTAAGTGGTAAGAGTTAGCTGACACTGGTCCTTGAATACTTGTCCAGCTCGTTTTGAGGATGCAGTAAGTAGTCCGTAGCCGAGGACCAGGTATCTCATATCCGGAGGCTTTTTGCATTGTTGACAATGCTTCAGAAAGAGTACGCTGGGCTTGTCACTGCTTGCTCTGAGGGGCCGAACCCAGCTTGCCTCAAACTTCTTGGCGTTCGTCCCCTCTCCAAACTGCCACCCCACCCAGGCTTCCTTTACAGTGAGGAAGCCTGTGCAAGCTGAGGCAGTGCGAAGGGGCAGGAGCTGTGGAACGGAGGCTGGCGGGACAGCCCTGGCTGCCTGTTAGGCGCGACTTGATTTCCTTTAAGGGGCTCCCTCTGATTTTCGGCGAGGCCCTTTGAGCTTATTTATAGGGTTGACCTAGGAGACACTTTCACAGTGCCATCGCTGCCAGGCCAGGGACACCGCCTGCCCCGCCATTCTTGCCAATATGGCTGAGAATCATTACACCAAGTAAGGAAAGAAATCCTGTAGAGAAATCCTTCATGTCCCAGGAGATCCTGAGGAGCTGGAAGGGCCAGGAACAGAGAGGCAGGAAGGGTGGAAGGGGCGGCGGGAAGACAATGCCCGAGCGGGCTGCGGGCCACGCGGCTCCACGCGGCTCTCGGTGGTGGGGGAGAGCGAGAAGGCGGGTTTCAGACCCTTCCCCTAAGGTCTCAGGGGGCCCCTTGGGTCTGGGTGCCAGCTCTGGAAGAGAAAGCAGGAGGCAATCCTGGGCCCTCCCCCCTGCCAGGCTGGGAACAGGGACTCTCGAGCCAGGCCGCCTGGATTTCGGTCCCAGAGTGGTCGTTTGCTGCCAGAGTCGCTCTGCCAAATTAAGCCCAGGGCCTCCGATTCCACAACTGTTAAACGGGCGCAGTAATAAACACCCATTTCATGAAGCCACTGTGAAGATTCAACAGAATTACCCAAAGACCTTAGAAATTGGCTCGATACCGAAATCCTGGAAAAATCCAATTTTTCATGATCCCATTTTCATTCTTCATTACCTTCATCTTCCTCAACTTATCTTCATTTTCCTTCACTTCACCTCTTGCATGCGGATTGTCCTTCCCTTCCTTCACGTCCCCCTTCTCCTGTTATCATCATTTATTGCTTTATTTCTGTCCACCCCATGCCCTCCTGCCAGACTGCTGACCCGGCTCCATGCAGGGAGGTCTCGCAGGAGACGCGTCTCGCCATTTGCTCGACTCTCTGAAACCCGCCCTGGTGGCCGACGGGGCCCGGCCGGCCACCTGTGGCCTGTCAGCCCCGCGTCCTGGGCAGGCCCTTGGCTGCCGGGCACCTGACGCACGGGACCCTCCCTTTCCTCGGAAGCCCCTCTGCTCTCCCACTCCCTTTCTGTTCCAGATCCCAGCCTTACGGGTTGAGAACAGAGCTTAGGGGAAGAAAAACGAAGTCCTGGGTGCAGAGATTACATTTTCTGTGTCTGCGTTTCTTTGAGATGAGGCCGTTTGAAATATTGGTTTCTTGGAAGAGCCTAAGATAGTGTTTTAGGGTGGCATTCTACCTGGAAATGGGGAACACACAGCGAAGGTAAAACTACAGACCAGGAGATGGTCAGCTTTCCGTAAAGGGCCAGAGAGGAAATGGTTTAGGCTCTGCGGGTCACACAGGGCCTTGCTCACGTAGTCTTCCTTTCCCCTACCCTTCTTTTCTTCAATTTTCTCTCCTCCCCCCTCTTTACAACCCCTTACACATGTGCGGGCCATACAAAACAAGCAGCAGTGTGCAGTCACTGCTGCAAACAGCCACAATCGTTTTTCATCCCCAGCATCTTTCCATCCATGAAGTTCATTACTCGCCTCTTGTCTCAGTCTGGTCAGGATTCTTATTAGGGAAAGGGTTGTTTTTAAAAAGGTAAACTTCTATAAGCTTTAAAATGTAAATTAGAGGTTTCCCTTGAACTTGGAGCCACCCCCCTGCATAAACCCACCTGGGCAGTTTGGACGATCACACGTCCTGGACTCCGTGGCGGTGCACGCGTAGCCACAAGACCTGGTCCGCTTCTGGTTGCCGTTCCCACAGGTGACGCTGCAGACGGACCAGAGGCTCCAGTCGCCCTCCCCGTCTGTGGAATCTGGAAGGCAGCCAGGGAGACAGTCACAGCCCCACCCAAAGAGTCCCCAAACTCACCCCACCAAGCAGCCTGCCAGTTGTCCCTTCCTTCCTTCTCACTGTTGCAGAGGCCCGGATGCCTGTTGGAGTCAAAAGGCTCACAGCTCCAAGGTTCATTTTAGGGGTGAACTCCATGAAGGCAGTGACTCTGTCTGAGGTTCTGGACATCGACGTGGTCAGCATGTGACCAGGGCCTGACAGCCCCAAAGGTGCTGAGTGAGTGCTTATTGAGAATGTATGCGTTTGCAGAGCGTGGGATCGTGCAATAATATGATAGGTAGTTAGATGGCTACCATTAGGTCCTTACATCCCTGTGCATACATTTACAAAGAGAGAGACAGACAGACAGACAGACAGACAGACAGACTACTTCCCCTTCCCTAGAATCTGTGCTAGCTTTGGCCTTAAGAGGCCTGGGAGGCCCTGACTTTTGCTCTGGGGAATCCAGTTGAGGCTAAACCTGTGAATTATGGGACACCACACGGAAAGACAGAAGCCACATGAAGGGCCACCGGGACACTAGCCACATGAGTGAAGCTTTCATGGACCTTCCAGCTGTCCCCAGTGGACCGCTGAGTGCCGCTGATGCCCTCAGCAGTAGAGGAGCTGCCCAGTGTGGCCCTGCTTGGACTCCTGAGCCACGGATCATGAGAAACAATAAAGTGCTGTTGTTTTTGGCGATGAAATTTGTTACACAGGAGGAGACAACTGATACATAACGGTGAAGCTAGAGGTGGTCCTTTGAGGTCACTGCTCAACATCCATCCGGCAGATACAGGGGTAGGCAAAAGGAGGTTTACAGGTGTGAATATGTGAAATAGAGAGTTTATTATGTATTATTTATACATAATGTATTATTATTCATTAATGTTTAATGTATTATTATTCATTAATTATTGTGTTATTTACCATATGATCACCTATAAACCTACTTCTGCCCCACCCTGTATTTTTTTGAAACCCTATAACATGCCAGGCACAATTCTATGTATGGAGGCTATATCATTAAACAAAACTTTCAACGATTCTGTCCTCGTGGAACTAATATTTTAGTGAGAAGAGTCAGGCAATAATTAGTAAACAAAAAAGGAGTAAATTATATAGTAGATTAGAAGTCGGTGAATGGCACTAAGGAAGGAGAAGCAGATCCGTGTAGGGGGTCTGGAGTGGGAGAGGTTGGTACACTATCAACAGTACATTCCAGTAAGAAACTAAGTCCTGGAGCAACTGGGTGACTGTCTAAGGTCATAATGGTGACAGAAAGGAAAACTTGGGCTCTAGTGCTAAGCCCTTAATCTCAAAAGCTTGACTCTTGCTGAAGCCTCTCCACTCAGGAATAATTTCTCCTGGTTTAGCCAAATGTTCCTGCAGCCTTGGGGCCTCTGTCAGTGCCAAGCGCAGAGCTACAGGCATGCGCCTGGCAGGGAAGGGTCCTCCCCATTCGTAACAGGTCGCGGTGATTGTTCTTATGTAGGCCGGGCAGGAATGTCGTCCACACGTTTCTACCTGAACTGCAGGCCCCGTGCCAGCCTCCCTGGCTGTTGTTTACATGGCGCTCACTTTGAATACTCCTCAGGCAAACACCGGGCCCCCAAGTCTCCTCAGCCCATTCAGCAGAGTTGGGGGGTGGGGGTGATTCATGGTTGTGCCCCCTTCCCTAACCCAGAGTTGGGCGTTCGCTCACACATCGCCTGCCCCCAGGGGCCCCATCCGTTTCTCTTCCCTCCCCAAAATGAATTCTTCCGAACTCTGATTTTCTTCTAAGGAATGGTTTTCCAAGCACGTGGCCAAGCAGATGTTTGAAGCTACTACTTCCTGTGAGGGAGCTGGACATTCGTGTGATGTCTAGAGGTGTCCTGCCTCCCCAGCCTTAGCCTGCTCCTCGTTCCCATCTCTTACTACTAGGCATGAGCATAGTGGCACTGGAGAGACTCGATCCTTCAAGAGGGACAAACCACTGAGGGAGGGGCCGCTGCTGCTCCCTCTGAGACTTTGCAGTCTGGCATCTCCTGGTAATTTCACCAGGAACACCAGAGGTGCCTGGAGCCACCGCATGGTTGCACTCTTGTCAGTGGGTGCATCTGGGTGCAGTGGGTTATTTGCATGTGTGACCACATTCGGCCACAACCTACATGCACCAAGGAGGCCAGATTTGTTAAAGGGAGCAACCACAGCACCGAGTCACAAGTAGAGATGGTAATGTCTCTAGATTCATAGGAAGGGGGCAGCAGGTCAGGCAGGAATAGCTTATTATACCTCATAGGTAGAGTCCATGTCACCTGTGTGACTTTCCTCTCACACGGATTCTAGCCCAGGTCACCTGCCTTGCTTTGGCCAATGGGAAAACAGCCAATAGGATGCAAACAGAGGCTGGAAAAGTGCTCTTGTATCAGGGCTTGCCCTCTTGCTGTAGGGAACACTTCCACTGCCAGGTGAAGAGCCCGGGGCCAGTGTCGTACAGGTGGAGAGAATCCCCAGCCATCTCGGCTCCCCAGACGCCCAGCTGGGATCCCATCATTGTGAGTCAAGCCATCCTACACCTCCAGCCCCAGCCAAGCCAGCCCAGAGCTGAACAGTGCAGACATCCTGCAAACCGCTGAGAGAGAACACGTTTGTTCTTTTAAGCAGCTGAATTTTGAGGGTGGTTTCTTAAGCAACAAGAGTTAACTGTTATAAATACACCGTAACATTTCCCCTAAGATGTGTCCTCTCGATGGTGGATTTCTCATCCTAGTAAGTGGGTTCTTCATGTCTTTATTTTAGGTGCTCACAAAGTCATTTATTTCCCACACATTTTTTAATATGGGTCCCTCAGAGTTAGGCACAGGATAGTCAGATAGCCAGGTGTTCAGTCATTTCTACTGGGATAGCAATGAAATAAAACCGCCTCCCAGGAAAAGTGTGGATGTCAGCTCACCACCCTAACGTCTCTGTAGCATATGTCCCCGATGAGTGCTCCAGCAAAGACCCTCTTCGTGGGGATTTCTATTTGTTTGATGTGCTCAAAAGACAGGGCATTTCTGACTGTGGAGCAAAGCTCTGAGGGCAGTATTCCTTCCTGCTGTAATCAAAAAAACTTGTTCTCATTTGCTCACCTACCAGGGAGCATCGCTCAGTGCAGGTACTGAATGTGAGCAGCAGCAGCTGCAGAGGACAATAATGACAGTAAAAATAATCCCTGTGACTTGACAGGCCTTCTCTGTGACATCAAATTGCTCAGTGAGGGAAGGAAACAAGGCATGGCCCAGTGGGCTGACAGCTGGGTTTCAAGGATGTCATTTGAAATTTTAAAGTAGTCATTATACTGTTTCAAGGCTCTAGAGTTCTGTGGGCCAGTCATGATGTTTGGGCAACTGAAGTGACTTGGGTCTTGACTCAGCTGCTGGCAAACCTCCACCGCTAATCCTAGGTGATAGTGGCTACCAACTATTGAGAGTCTGCTTTACCCAGACGTTCTAACAGACTGATTGAACTATTATGATCCTGTAAGGCGGGTGGAAATAGCTTCCTTTTATGGGTAAGGAAATTGAGGCTCAGAGAGGTCAAGGTACTTGACTAAGGCCACATAGCTCAAACTTGGCAGAGCTGGGATTAGATCTGAGGTCTCTCTGCTCCTACTGTATCCTGTTCTATAGCCTGGCATTCCAGTAGCTCTGATTCTGGCCCAGGTTGGCCTCCTTTCTTTAAGACACCCACTTATGTGGCCATAATTTAACATTACAAAGAAAAACCCTTGAAAAAAAAAACCACTGAAATATTCTATTAAAATAGGATCATGACCAGTTGGAGAATTGCAAAGCATTGAGTCCCTACCTGGGTTACAATAAACAGTGCCCATTAACTTTATTATTCAGATTGTTCTGAACAACCTTGGGAATGGTATACTACTATTTCACAAAAAAACCCTTTATCTGAACTCTTTTGTTGCCCTACGTAATACCTTCAGTATCTACACAGAAGGTATTTAAAATGCAACATCACAAACACAAGGTATGCTCTTAATAAATAGCTGTTGAGCCCTGACTGGTGGCCCAGTTGGTTGGAATGTCGTCCCATGCACCATAAGGTCGTGGGTTCAATTCCTGGTTAGGGCACATACCTAGGTTGCAGGTTCGAGCCCCCATCGGATCGCGTGTGGGAGGAAACTGATCAATGATTCTCTCTCTATCTCTTCCTTCCCCTCTCTCTAAAATCAGTAAAAACATATCCTTGGGTGAAGATTTAAATAATAAATAAATAAATAAATAAATAAATAAATAAATAAACGTCTGTTGAACAACTAAATGATGCAGCTGGAAAAAAATTATCTTGCTGTTTTTGAAGTTGTTTAGAATCACCGATTAGTGGGAAGAAACAACTCTTCAACACACAACTGAAAAACAGGTGTAAGGGTGAGAGTTCACTACAAGTCATGCTCATCATACAGTGTTTGCGCCTAAGTCTGCTGATGGTGAAACCACAGAATATCACAGTGATGGATGCATTTATAAGACGGCAAATATCTATAGCACAAGGCACACTGCCCGATTCCACACAAAGCCTGCTTCTTCTTATTGAACATACAGAATACATTTTCCCGCCTCCCTTACAGCTATGCGGGGCCATATCATCAGGTCCTGCCAATAACATTTGAGCAGATGTGATGTGTGTCATCTCCAAGCTGAGGGGGGTTAAGAGCATGTGTGCCCTTTTCAGGCTGCGTCTCTCTCCTTGGCTGAACTGGATATAGAGCATCCAGTGGATAACTCTCAGGCCCTGACAGTTGGTGGAGTGCCAAGATGGAAGGAGCCTGGGTTCTTGAATGACAGAGTGGAGCTGAGTTTCCCCTACTGTGTCTCCCATCTCAAGTGAAAAATGAACTTTTATTACTTAAATTACTGAACTTGAAAGTTTTATTACCTCACCTATCTTACTCTAAAAACATGAGGCACTAGAAGCCCAAACTTGGGGTCTTAAAATTTA